TTCCCTCTTCAATTTGTCATTCCCGGCATAGTAAACCTTGTGGTTGTCAGATTCAAAATGGCTGATACCAGTCCATTTCAGCTCACCAATGCCTAAGATATCGATGTTTATGCATTCCATTTCATTTTTGACAACTTCCAATTTTCTGAGATTCATACTTTGTACATTCCATGTTCCGATTTTCAATGGATGTTTACAGCCGTTTCTCTTCATTTTGAGTCGTGCCCCATCAGCAAATGAAAGTCCTGCGGGCTTTTCTCCTATGAGCTTTACTCCATTCGCATCATCATGGTCACCTCTACTTTGAGGAGGCAGCTCTTCCCCAGTCGCATTTTGAGTGCCTTTCAACCTGAGGAGCTCATTTTCCTCACTATATCTGACAGTGTTTTTCTGCTATTCATAAGGTTTTCAGTTACTAAAGATTTGGAAGTCTGTCTTTGTCTGGAAGCTCATCTGAAACCTGTACACCATGGGTGACCCTGCTGGTATTTAAAATACCAGTGGCATAGCTTTCAGAATCACAGCAACTCACAATCCACCACAGTACAACAAACTGACAGACGAGTGGTGGCTGTTTGGTTTTAAGTGGAAACTGTCACTTTAAATTTCTAGGAGATCTGTGCGCATGCGTAGTAGAACCCTCCAGGGGTGGGGTGGGGTGTCCATTCACTCAGGCATCCCCTCAAGTCACCAGAGTGGAGGTGTGCAGACAGCGAGAGACCAATGAACAGATACCAAAAAATGAATGTCCACATCTGTATCTCCGAGGTTCTGTCAGGTATTCGTGGCTGTTCTGATCCTTCCCCCGCTTGGTCTCTCCCAAGATGGCGGCTCCGGGAATCGCTGAGTGTCTTGAATTATAAAGCAATGGATTTCTTGATTCTGCTACAAATTCCCCTAGCTGTAAGCCTTCCAATCTTCTAAATATTCCTTTATATGTGGTTCATTGTTCTGGGACCATCCCTGAGACTGGTTGGCCCGGTATTCTGTGTTGTTGCTGATGGAACTCCTCACAGCACGTCTACCCGATCCACCATCTTGATTGTATCCCCTGACCTATTAATACTTATAAATTTAGCAGTTAAAATGTGATGAGAAAAAAACAAAGATCCAGTGTCCCTGGTGGGGGGTGGGGGTGGTAAAGCTCCAGGCCACATTCTCACACCCATTCCTGACTCATTCATTTGTTCATTGTTTCTGCAAACCGAAATGGACTGCTCTGGGTACTGTTCCCAAGTGCTGCCCCTCAAGAAAAGCCCACTAACTCCTCAGGGACCCCACTTCCCTCTTGGACATCCAGGAGACTCCACAAACTAGTCACTTAGAAGTTTTTGGAAATGACAACCGATCCTGTCTTTGCAAGGTGACCCCAGAGCAGCCCTATCAACTGGAGCCCTTGGCAGCATAGAGGACACCAGCAAGCAGAGAGGGCCCTGGAGGTTTGGAAAAGGAGAATGGTCTTTTAGCTCTACATATTGCATTTTGTGAAGAGTTGACCTGAGCATACATTTTCTTCCTGGAAATGTAGCTTAGGGAAATAATAGAGTGGGGCGGGTAAGAAAGACAGACAGCAACAGACAGAAAGCTGTCAACTCCAGTGTTATTTATAATGGAAGTACATAAGAACAACCTTACTGGCTATCTAAGGGGCAGGGCTAAGTGTATACTGAAATAGCCATTCAGTGAAATATTATTGTTTTGTACCAACAGTCTATTCTAACGCCTAGCGACCCTATCCCCAAAACCAAACAGCCAATGCCATCAAGTCTGTTCTGATTCATAACAACCCTATAGGATCGAGTCAAACTGTTCCATATGGTCTCTGGGACTGTAAATCTTTGTGGGAGAAGTCTCATCTTTCTCCCAAGGAGTAGTTGGTGGGTTTGAACCACTGACCTTGGGTTTAGCAGCCCAACACCTAGCCCACAGTGCCACTAAGACTCCTAGTCACCTTAGGTTTTTGTTAAGTGCCATCGAGTTGGTTCCAACTCGTAGTGACCATGTATAGGGTTTCTGAGGAGCAGCTGGTGAGTTTGAACTGCTGACCCTGTGGTCCACATGGTCCAGTACTTATCCTACATCATGACAGCAGGACTCCTTATAAGGCAAAGTAAAACTGCCCCATTTTGTTGTTGTTGTTGTTGTTATGTGCCATGGAGTCGGATCCGACTCATAGAGACCCTGTACAGGGTTTCCCAGGCTGTAAATCTTTATGGGAGCAGAAAGCCTCATCTTTCTCCCATGGAGCAGCTGGTAGTTTCGAACTGCTGACCTTGCGGTTTGCAGCCCAATTCGTAACCACTACACTACCAGAGCTCCTAGGCTATAATTTTTATGGGAACAGATCTTCAGGTCTTTTCTCCCACATATCTGTTTGGTGAGTTTGAACCTCCAATCTCCCGGTTAGCAGACAAGTGTTTAACCACAGTATCACTAGACCTTCTTAGAATATTATGCAATCATTAAATATGATAAGAGGCCATGGTGGCACAGTGGGTTAAGCATCCAACTGCTAACCACAGGGCCAGTAGTTCAAGTCCTCGGGAAAAAGATGAGACTGTCTTCTTCCATAAAGATAAACAGTCTTGGAAACCTTACAGAGCAGTTCTACGCTGCCTGAGAGGGTTACTATGAGTCAGAATCGACTTGATGGTGGTGGATATTAAATAAGATGAATTTCAACTTTAAGCAAATGTTATATCATTAAAAGATGAAGCACTCAATTGTATTTTAACTATACAATTTTACTATATAAGAATGTTAGCAAGACTACACTGAAATGTAGAAAATCAAAGCAATTCATCAGTTGTGGATGAGAATCTGTCTTGAATTCTCTATCCTGTTTTTATCTCTTCCTGTTGTCCCCATAGAGGAATGTTTTTTACAAGTCAGTGGAGTTTAGACCATTTCACACCGACAAGTTGGTTTGGAACACTGAGGCAGTCTTATCAGCAAATCTAGATAAGCTGACCATTGGAGCAGAGCAACCTGGAAAACTTCTTAGCACTGGCACTAAAGGGGATTTGAGGATTTCAGGGAAATTTTATTCTTCCAAGGACTGACTGTCCACAGAAGACAATAAGAAGATGGCAGAGGAAAAGATGTAAGGCCCAGTTTCTTCTGTTCACAAAGTCTGATTCTACCATTGGCCTCTGACTCCCACCCCAGGAATTCTGCTCATCCCTGATGGAGCAAGGGGAGGCAGGCCACCTCAAGCTGTCCCTGAAGATGCATCATCTCAGAAGGATAGAGTGGTTTACAATCCTCTCATCAAATAGAGATTTGGAGCAGTAATCCCCATCCACAAAGTAAAAACAAAACCGCAAGTAGTGACCTAGAATCTGAATTCCCTTCCATTTGGAGTACAACTAAGCTAACCACCTGGGGTTCATTCATGATTGTCTGGGCTTCAACATGCCCTGCTGGTGGTGCCCAAGGTCCTCAGTTCAAGTCTCCCTAGCCAGCTTCACCAGAGGCAAAAATACTCTGGAATGAACCATTGACGTGCCAGGCATAGGTAGAGGTGGACAGAGAGAAGAGGTAAGGGAGAACTGGCTTTTATCTCTAACCAGGAATATGAGCTTCTCCTTTTTCAAGAACACCTCCTTACATTCTGTCTCAGGATTTACTTTTTCATATGCCTTGAACACTTTGGAGACAGTTGTGCTGCCCTACAATGGAACAGATGATTTCGTAAGTCACATTCTAACCCTGTTCAGAATGTATAGTTGTTGTTGTTGTAATGTGCCGTGGAGTCAGTTCTGACACATAGCGACCCTGTACAGAGTTTCCGAGGCTGTAAATCTTTATGGGAGCAGAAAGCCTCATCTTTCTCCTGAGGAACAGCTGATAGTTTCGAACTGCTGACCCTGAGGTTCACAGCCCGATTCATAACCACTACGCTACCAGAGCTCCTTAGAATGTATAGTAGGTTCTCATTAAATACCTACTGGTACTTACTTCTTAAATCATGGTGGTGTTGTTAAGTGACCTTGAGTCAGTTCTGATTCATAGTAACCCTGTATAGAGTTTCCAAGAAGCAACTGGTGGGTTTGCACCACCAACCTTGCTGTTAGCAGTCCAGTGCTTGTCCTACAGTGCCACAGCATGGGAAATCCTACGGGCTCTACTCTGTCCTATAGGATCATTATGAGTTGGAATAGACTCTAGGGCACAAAGACAACAACAAGTAGGAAGGCCCAGAGGGACTTGCCCAAGGTCATAGAGCTGATTAACAACCACAGCTCAAATCTCCAGATTATCCCTGTTCTCTGCTCTCCCCACCTTATGCAGGAACAAACATCTTGCGAGTGGGTGTTCAGAGTCGAAAGATTGAAAAACAAGGGCATTAATTGGGAAAGGAAAGCTTCTAGGACTGAATCCACCTACTCTGAGTGAACAAGACATGGAGCTCAATCATGTCTCATTGTATGTGACCTTGGATAATCCCATCCCTACTTAATGACACAGACATATGTTTCTTACCACTCTTCCTCCCTGGGGATGCCTATGTAAGCAATTTATATAATTTACTACCATCCTGCCACCCTACTCATTAGATCTTAGCGTAGGCAGTTGCCATTTTTGTAGGTCAAATAGATAGAATTTGTGTAAGTAGAATATTGGTGATTTCATATGGTTCACCTAATTTTATTGCTGTATGCCATCAAGTTGATTCCAACTCATAGCAAATTTGCAGGGTAGCACAGAATTGCCCCATAGAGTTTCCTAGGCTGCAATCTGTACAACATCAGATCGTCAGGTCTTTTCGCTCAAGGACTGGTTGATGGATTCAAACCATCTACCTTTTGGTTAGCAGCCAGGCGCTTAACCATTATATGGCAGAATCTTTGTTCAACAGAATACACCCTCACATATGTGGTAGTAAATAGTGCACACAGAACCTAACAAGGAGGAAAAGGCCCTGGACAGAGGTGGGCCAGAGGCCTGGACCTCTGTGTTCCCATACAACTCTGACCCTAGGACTAAAGTTTACTCACTCTTTAACTTCTTTGGCGGAAAAGTCCAGGTAGCGATTGCTGACCCACTGAATCTCAAACCAGTCCCGAAAGCCATTATTGCCACAGCATTTGAACTCGATCTGCAGCATGTCAATTGTCTTCTTCATGAAGCACCTGCCGGGGGTATCTGTGTCCCGATAGTATTTCATGCCATTCTTGAGCCCATGGGTCAGTGTGCTCTCCAGCGAACCCCGCAGCAGAAAGCAGCAGAGGGACACAAAGAAGAGGGTTATGTTGAAGAGGACACAGGCAATTAGGAAGGACTTCAGCCAAGGCTTCCACTTGGCATACTTGGTAGGGTCCACGGCATCGTAGCAGATCTTGCCAGCCAGAGAGTTGAAGACACAGGACAACACCCCCACACCTATCAAGGAGTTGGGCACAAAATGGCTCTCTGAATTACTCATCACATCACTCCTCTTCCGGAGTTCAATCTTTAGGAAGAGCCCTAGACTGAAAACGATGATACCAGTCAACACAGAAAGCCAATTCATGAGCCAGAGCCCTTGGGCCAACCTGACTCGCTTCTTCTGGTCAAATTTGACTTTCAGCAGCGCCATGCTTATAGGTGCAGTCCTGGCAGCCTCCCTCCACCAAGCTCACACAAGGGCTGATGCCTCAGGTCCTTGGGAACAGTGCAGGCAGCTGCAGAGAGTTGCTCTGGGGACTGTCCATGTTGAGCCCACCCTAACCTGAGATCCCCATTAACCTGAGCATTGTGGCAGGATCCTCGGAGTCACAGTTCCTGCAGGGGCTGGTCCTCACTGTCGTCTGCGCAGCTGTTTCCCAGCCAGCAAGGGACCGATGAACACTGCAGATTAAAAGTGGGAACCACAAAGCATTTTGCTAATCTCTTTAGCCAGGTTCATCCTGTTAGATAAAGCCCTACCAGCCTCTGAATATGGCCAAAAGGAACCTCCACATACAAACTGGGGCGAAAATCTCTGCGTTCAGCTTGGAGAGTCAGGAGTGAAAAAGGCAAGAACGGTCAGGAGGCTTTACCTGGAAGTCTGGCTCAGATCATGTGTTTCCCAAGAACCAAGTCTCTGACCTACCTGCTTCGGGAGGTTCTGTCCTGCCCACACCTCCTATTATAGAGCCTACTCTTGCTGTTGCTGTTAGTAGCTATCCAGTCCATTCTGACTTACGATAACCCATATGTACAGAGTAGAACCGCTCCAAAGGATTTTCAGAGTTCTGGCCTTTTGGAAGCAGATTGCCAGACCTGCCTTCTGAGGTGACTCCAGGTGTATTTGAGCCACCAATCTTTCAAGCACGTAACCATTTGGGCCATCCAAGAACTCATTACAGGGCATACCCAATGCCCAAGAGTTGATTCCAGCTCATTGGGGCTCTACTGGACAGAACAGAACTGCCTCAAGGATTTCCTCCTCATGCCTGTAGGATGAGCACTGGACTGCTAACCACAAGGCTGATGATTCAAACCCACCAACTTCTCCATGGAAACCGACTCAAATGCACTTAACAATCACAAACCTTACCAGGGAGTCCTGGTATGGCACTGTAGGATAAACGCTGGACTACTAACTGCATGGTCAGTGGTTCAAACCCACCAGGCACCCCTCAGAAGTACTATATAGAACTAACTCAATGGCACTTATCAACAACAATCTTTGTAGGAGCAGATTGCCACATCTTCCACAGGGCAGCTGGCAGGTTCAAACCACTGAACTTTCAGCAGCTGAGCACTTTAACTTCTGCAGCACTAGGGCTTCTTCAAGTCGATTCCATTTCAAAGCCTCATCTATATAGGGTTTCTGAGGCTGTAAATCTTTATGGGAGCAGAAAGCCTTATCTTTCTTCCTCAGAGCAGTTGCTGGATTTGAACTCCTGACCGTGTGATTAGCAGTCCGGTGTTTATCCTCCATTGACACCAGTTATCGTATGATGGCTTGTGTATGGCTGTGATGCTGGAAGTAAGGCCACCAGTGTTTCAAACACTAGCAAGGCTACCCATGGTGGACAGGTTTCAGCTGAGCTTCCAGACTAAGACTAGGAAGAAGGATGTGGCGGTAGACTTCTGAGAAAACTGATCACTGAAAACCCATGTTTTCATTAGCTTCTCCAAGGTATCTCTTGGTATCTGCCTCCGATGGCACCCAGCCCAGTGACAAGTCAACGACAAGTGCTCAATGTATATTGAATGAATGAATGAACATATCAAAACTGAGATGCCTTTTAAGAGGTAATGCAAGATAGGTAGATAAATAGATTTGTACACACATATAATGTTGTTGTTAAGTGCTGTCGAGTCAGTTCCGACTCATAGCAACCCTGTATAGGGTTCCCGAGGAGCAGCTGGTGGGTTTGAACAGCTGACCTTATGGCTCAAAGTCCAATGCTCATCCTACAGTGCCACACTAGGAGTAATAGTCATAAAATAAATTCTATTAACTCTAGAAAAACACAGTTGCCATCAAGTTAGTGTGTATCAGAGTAGAACCGTGCTCCACAGGGTTTTCAATGGCTGATTATTTAGAATTAGATCACCAGATCTGCCTTCAGAGGTATAGAATAGAACTTCCAACTAACCATTTGTACCATCCAGAGTCTTCTTATAAAATTTACCACTATCAAAACTTAAAACTTCTATTGGACAACAGACATCATTAACAAAGTTAAAAAAGAAATGTCATATTGTGAGAAAATGTTTGCAACACATAAAACAAAGAATTAATATGCTTTAAAAATTCCCACAAATCCATAATCAAACTAGAAGCAATCAACTGGAAAAACAAGTAAAGGACAGGAAGAGGTCATTCATAATAAAGGAATGTAGGGAGTCCAAACAACCAGGAAAAGGTGCTCAGTCTTACTAGCACTCAGGGAAATGCAAATTAAAACAACAATAAAAGACTACTAGATCTATCAGATTGAGCATATGTCAAAATTCTGTCACCGTACAGTGTATACAAGGACAGTAAAAATAGATACAAAAATTTGCATTCCTTTTGGGAATTTAGTTCTGTCAAGCTGTGGGTTAATGCGCCAGACTGCAAAGCCATTTGAAGTGCAAGGTCAGCGGTTCAAGCTCACCAGCTGCTCCTCCGAAACCCTATACAGGGTCACTATGGGTCGGAATTGACTCCACAGTAGTAAGCACCACCAGCAACATTACAGTTTAATAGGAGTCCTGGTGTGGCTCTGCAGAATAATGCACTGGACTGCAAGGTAAGTTTGAGCTGCAAGGTTGGCAGTTCAAACCCACCAGTCGCTCTTCAGAAATTCTATACAGGGTTGCTATGAGTCAGAACCAATTCAACGAACTTAACAACAACAACAATGGCAATTTAAGGAGTCCTGGTATAGTTCTATAGAATAAGCACTGGACTGCGAACCACAAGGTTGGCAGTTCAAACTCACCAGTCACTCCTTGGAAACCCTATACAGGGTCACTATGAGTCCAAAAGGACTCCACAGCACTTAACAACAACATTATAATTAAAAACGCACATTCCGAATGATCCAGCAATTCTGTTTCTCAAAACAACCTGTGAATAAGCACAAGTTTGAAGAACAAGTTTGTCAAATTCATGTCCATATTGTACCAGAGAGGAGTCCTAGTGGTACAGTGTTCAAACCCACCAGCAACCCCTCTTCTGTAGAAAAATGTGGCAATTTGCTTCTGTGAAGATTATAGCCTTGGAAACTGTATGAGACAGTTCTGTCATATGGATCCCTGTGAGTAGGAATTGACTGGACAGCAGTAAGTAATATCAAAGAAGACTTCATGATTAGAGTCAAATACTCAAAAGCTTAAGACAGCAAGTGGGTCAAATCTCCTTTCTTCCATTATTTGCATGGGCTCTTCCTAGATTCACCACCCACACACTCTTCTTTAGAATCTCTGGACCTCTAAGTAAAATGGAAGACGTCGTTCTCCACAGATAGAGGAGATGTTAAGAACAAAGCAGTAAGACATGAGGAACTTTCCCTCCCCCCTCCAACATAGTCCACTTGAGAAAACAAAACATTTATTCCTTTGCTCAACCCAATTTCAGCCTCTAATTTGGGAGTGATCTCCAAGGCCAGGTTCTGAGCCATATGGGTAAACCTGTCTTGTTCTTTGATTGTCATACTACATTTTGGGTCAAAAAAGTCAGAGGACAAAGGAACGTGGATGGCTGTGAGGCATTTCTGAGAAATCTCTTAGGAGTACACATATAAACAAGAAATTCAGTCGGTAAAGGCAGAAAGAGTTGATGTATAAACCAGAAATAAACATAATTAGAGAACGAGAAGGGCTGCTATCCCCAGCAGAGGAGGCAGGAGCAAAAGCTGGGTGGGCAGGGATCACCACCATTGAGGCGGTGAATCAAGATCACAATACCAAAAAGATGGAGACAGCCTAATGCCCATCAGCAGAAGAATGGTTAAACAAACTTTGGTAACCACCGCATAATGGAATACTAAGCAACATTGAAAGGAGCTCACCGTCAGCAGTTCAAACTACCAGCTGTTCCGCAGAACAAAGATGAGGCTCCCGTAAAGATTTACAGCTTCGGAAACCCTGTATAGGGTCGTTGTGAGTCGGAACCAACTCCACGGCACATAACAACAACAACAAGCAACGTTGAAGAAGAACTGAATCTGTGAAGCATCTCATAACATTGAGTGCATGAGTGTAGCCATTTTGAAAACTTTGAGCGCTACCGGAAACATCCTCCCCTTTTCCTATTCTTGATCTTTTAGGTATATGCTTTTATGTTAATGTTTGCCTAGGCTTGAAATCTGGTCCTCCTTTACTATGGCTTCTGAAAAGAGTAACCACCCAGACGGACAGGCACAGCATCTGACAGCTAACATTTCTGATACGTTTTCAGACTATCCGATCATCTTCGGAATTGGTGTGAATATCAGAATAATGAGATTGTGGCCCACCTGCATGTACACAGGGAGGAATACAAGCGTGAAAGCGAACAGAGGTAAATCCTGTTAACTGATGGTCCCTGCCGGGCATTGCAATCACTGTAATGACACCAAGTGTATGATTTATTGAATGTGGGATTGATGCTCTGTTCTGCAAATCGTCACTCAATTCACAGTAAAAAGTTAATTTATTTATTTATTGTTTAAATACCTCCACATTAATAACTTGATTAGCTAAGGGTCTCTTTCTCCTCAAATGACCAGGAGGTGTACACTGTTGGTACAATGTGTTGGCGCCGAGCTAAATCCATGGCAAGTGTACGGCGTCCCCTGGTGGTCAGAAATGGAATGGCTTTATTAATGGAAAGGGGGATTTTGCCTCTCTCCAGATAGAATCTTGGAAGATGTTACCTTACCCAGAAAGGTAAAAGACATAGAATACACCAGAAATATCAGCCAGACCTTTCTAGTATCAAGAAAGGCAGAATATGAGGATTAACTAGTGGATTGTTGACAGAAGATATGGAAAAGTTGGTTTCCTCCCCACTATGGACTAATTACTGAGTCTTGTTCAGATGCGGTCGCTGCTGTTAAAACTCACAGTGACCCTATTCACAACAGAAGGAAATACTGCGCCATCCTCAAAATTGTTCCGTATAGCATCAAGATG